TGGATTGCAGAGAGACACAGGATTGGCTGAGGCCAGGTGGTCCAATATGTCTGCGCCCTAATCCGACGCCACACCACACTACAAGATCAATCTGTGAAATATACTTAATCGAAAAAGTTGAAGGCCTGGTTTATTGACAACCTTATTGCTTTTAAAAAAGTGGATAGTGGCGTTTTTTTGTCAAAAGTATGATTTACTTTTGATTCGCTGGCCATAGTTCGTTGTTTCAAACGAGAAATGATTTTGACTTCTGTTCCTTATTTTAGAAATTCGATTTTATCTGAAGTTTAATATTTTTTGTCTTCTGTATGACTTCGATATTACCGAAGGATATTGGAGATTTCGGATGTTCATCTTATTGGGATAAGTTTTTCACGAAGTTAGACTCACCTTTCGAATGGTATGTGTGATATTTGCATCATTATATTTTTATTAAGGTATGGTGACTTTACTACTTTTGCTGATATTTTTGCTGAAAATATTAAACGTTCGGATTCAGTTCTAGAAGTGGGTTGCGGAAACTCGGTGCTTTCTGCCGATATCTGGGATAAGATTGGTTGCTCACGATTTCTTGGCATTGATTACAGGTAAATGTATCAGATTCTCCTCATATCTTTTTAGTTCAAAGGCGATCGAGCATTCGCGAAAGCTTATAACTTCATCGCGTCCTGGACTTCGGTTTGAGCATGTAGATGTATTTGAATTGGATCGGGAACTTAGCCGTTTAGAAATGGAATCAAACACATTTAATTGTATAATTGATAAGGGAACTCTTGATGCTATTGACAACGGGGAAACTAAAGAAGATCGGATTCAATGCTACTTTAACCAAATATCGTCTGCTCTCGGTCTCTTTGGAAGGTACATTTTGATCACGTTGGCGCAGGATCACATCATCAGCCACATCGCCAACTATTTTCTTAAAAAGTAAGCCTTTTGGTGGGTTCAAACTTAAGGGTATATGTATATATGGATTATTTTGAATAGCGCCTCGTTTTTGGTAACGTTTTAATGCCATCAATGATTTCATGGAAAGTATTTCTTTCTTGTTGTGAAAACCCAAGGCGTTTATCTGATTATGTCAAAAGCGAATGTGTTGAATTTACTTTTTACTATGCCACTTTCACATCTTTTATCTACTTGCGGTAAATGGTTACTTGATCCTAGCAATGTTTGCTAGAATCCTGAAATGGTTTATAATTTCCATTTTAGGCGACAACCCACATTTTTACTCGCATTAACAATGAAATACTAAGTAAAATTACTATCTTTTTATGTCCTATTATTTTATAACATGTTTCCAGCGTTAGACATAGTTTATCTGCCTTTTCAATCGCATTTTGTCGCATTTTCTTTTAGAGAGTGTCCATGGATTGTGACCTGCATCCAAGTCACTAGTCCGATAAAGGAACACCCGGGTTCATTCTCTCTTCCATTGTTTGCATTTATTATGACAAAAATGAAACCCTCTCCAAATCTCCCACAGTTGCGTCTAAGGACTATTCTAGAGGACAAACCCTGTAGTCCAATTTCGGAAAACCTCAAAAATCGGCTTGTCGATTGGATCAAGTATTTGCAGAGCTTTTGCGTGTTGGAACAGGATTCTCATGGGTACGTCGTTGCTTTTGTCACCAGTGCGAGGTTTTAACGCATTTTATTACTGTTCCTCATTGCCGTATAGTGGGTGTTCCGTACATGTACTTTTTATCATCTCGTGAAAATTGAACATTTCCCCATCGAAATTACATCATTTTGTATTGCAAAATTTTTCAAACCACCCAGTGGGTCATCTTACGTTTTACCTGAGAAAACCTGGCGCCGACTGTATTTTGCCGTTGCTACTGCTCAAATGTCCTTAGGAATGATTTACGTTGCAGTTGTCATTCTGCTGCTTTGCAGACCTAATGATTGTTACACATTGAGGGTCTTCGTTAGTGCCTTACCAACTTGTCCATGCGCTTTCACGCGGCATATTTGTCTCACTACGTTGTTTAATTAAATAACCTCAGTGTAGTAAATTACGTAATTGTAAGTGAAAATACTTATCGTTGCTCACTTGAACACCAAATAAATGCGGATAAGTTAAAAGTGGTTTTAAAACCCTCCCGTATAGTCACACATCGCAGAAGTTAGATGGGTTGTGAATTCAGACTTCTATTTTCCAAGTTCAGTGTCTTATGTAAAAGGTCCCCGTATAGAACGGAAAATGGTTGCTAGGAGTCAAGCCTATTGCCACATTTAGAAGTTCGTATTGGTGACGAGGTAAATGTGCCTAGTTTGATTCAGGTCCCGATTTCTTAAAATGCTTTCTACAAGCACTCTATTCGTAATGGATCATGACCTTTTAGTTTGTATGCTTAGATCCTTGTTCTGTAAGTCCATCTGTTTCTAAACTATGGTGCTTTCCTCTAATAATTAGCTTAAAAACCCTCGAAACTTTAAATCCCCAAATATCCTTTGAGTGTGATTAAAAATCCAACATTCCGCTTTTACTCATTGTCCTTTCTTATGATAGGAGCATGCTTCGTTACTTGATTATATTACCTTTTGTACGGTTAAAGGGGGCAATTTTGATTCATAAAAACCCTTTTCAGGAAGTATCTTACACTTAATTGTCAGACACGCCTCTTTATCGACCCAACGTAAGAAGAAAATTAGTCCAAACCCGAACCAATTGTTTTCAATATGCTACCCAATAACTGATCATCATAACATTTTTAACGACTTCACCATTTATGTGATTTTGTTTGCTCCCCGATATTGCTCGATGAACCTCTAGCCTTTGCGTTTTGTCTGAGTTGCGTCCGTAGAAATCAAGAGTGTATTGTATACATCGAATCATATCTTTGGAAGTTTCGACATTTGGGTAATTTGGGGCCAAATATATTTTGCCCTCTCGTCTAGGCCTGTATTGTCGTGTGCACCAGCAGAATAATAGACAAACTGGTCTGTTTTGTTGAATGTATTGTGTCTTCTCTTGATTCATTTGTCGACGCTTCTTTGTGTTGGTCTAATTTGGTGACTGGTTTCATTCTGAAGGTCGAGACGCGGTCGGGAGTTCGAAATCGTTCATGCAAGAAGTGGCTGCACGATGTTTCAGTGCAGAATTGTTACAGCCGCGTCGCGTCAGACTACCCCCGTCACTGCGAACCCCGAGGGTGTTTTTCTTGAACCTCAAGACGAGGCTTCAGTGGAGCTATTCAAATCCCCCGAGGGGCTCCAGCAGCTGCTCGATTCCATGGGGGGTGCCGCCTGTGCACTGATTGCTTCCACGAACCCAATTCTGCGCTTCGCCTCCCTTGAGATTACCAAATCCAGTCTTTCCAATGGCCTAAGCATTTGCCCTGTCGCATCTACAGTCAAATCAGTAAGGTGATATTGCACTTTGCACGTGAAATTATTGCCGGGTCGACATCTACAGGCTTGCGCCTAATAGACGAGCTTTTGCATAGTGGGTTGCTGTACACACTTTACGCAAATGTTAAAATGTACCATAAAATGACACGAACGTGGCAATATGGTACAAAGAGGCCTTAATTCTACAATCAATTTTAGGCACAATCCTCCACACTTTTATGTATATGGATTAACTAATCAATTTATATAAATCTGTCGCGAAACGTTTGACGTTCAGCATAGTACCTAATGTGGATTGAGGAGTGTATTCAGTGGAAAGAATCTGACTTCCCAGGTCGTCATGGTCCACATGACACACCGCCTTTCCATTACACTGTATCAGCGCAGCCACCCAGCTGCCAGTTGGTAGAGTTCATGTCTGCACCGACCACTTGCTTCTTCGACTCAGGTTGAACTACGGGGTGCACTGAAACCGGTTTGTTTTCATGTCTAAAGCAATGTTCCCTAAGTGAATGTCCGTCACTTTTCTGACCATTTTCTCAATTTTCAACTGACACACTCATATTCTCCGTGTATACCTGCAACAACCTTGCATCAGTCCAGAGCTAACGGCGCACCCTAAATATGCTTGTGTCTGCAACACAGCTTTGCTATCCACAATAGCACCTTATATACTTCAAGGGCAAAACCACTGGTTAAACTATTACTAATATCAATTTCTCAATGTCGCGTTCGATGTCCCTTTAGCTATTCATGGGGATTAATACTAATTTTTGCCAGGATCTAGATTTCATATTTCTCGAAATGTACTTTTCATATATCGGTCTTACTTAGTTACCGATATACAGTACTCCGGATGGCTATCCTCAAATGCAAATAATCAAGGAGCGCAATCCTTATGCAGTGATAACGGAAAGGAGTAAGAGGCGGAAAGGAAAATATCATCTCCTTGTTGATCGCCTTGACACAGACCTTTTTCGGGTAATCAGCAGCGATACATTTTTTGAACCTTCATCGGTAATTGTCTTTACTTGGATCGTCGTCGCCCGCCTCTTTGCAACGTCTTTGAAGGGCGGAAATGGTAGATTTGTCTACCTTGGAGTCCCTCCCTGCCTTCAGCCATCTCTAATTAATTCAATTGAACTTGGCCCTCAATCAGAAAGCATCCAACCTCTTATCCAAATGCTTTGCCCAGAAGTTCATATTCGAGAAAAATGCAATGGTTGTTGTCTATGTCGCTTTGTCATAACTTCCTTGTGTAGGGTGTGAGGTTACGTTCTTCGACCCCCCTGAAGGCTTGACGGATGATTGCCTGTCTCACTTTCTTTGTGTTGATGCTGAATCCCTTGTTTCTCAAGGTACCTCTTTCTGCGTATAATACGGTGCATTGTGTAGGTATCTGCTTTGTCCTAGACCGGTCGACAGTTGGAAAAATCGACACCTCTTCGGATCTAATTAATCGAGTCGAAAGGTTCTGTGGATCGTCATTGCAGGTGCTTTTTCAACAGGAATTCAACGGTGCTTGCATTTGCATACTGTTTAAAAAAGACGCGGAACTCTCAAAAACCAGACTTGCAAGTCGACTTCTTGAGAGCGCCTTGAAAGTCCCGACTATGAGGGATTACGTCACAACGGATCCAAAATCCCAAAGTTATATCGACGGTTTCGTACGTAAAGCTGACATGTGTTTACAAGATGCTATACGATTACTTAAAACTGTAAAATAATTTCTTACGCAACTTGATTTTCTGAAGCTATGCTTCCGAGTGGTGGATATTCTGCTGGTGTGACCGTACAGTTTACCCATGATATAACGAAATTATCTTTTTGGTAATTCGCGTACATCGTGAGCGGCTTCAAAACTTCGTACTCGGTTTTCACTGATGGTGGAAACGTGGACATTTGACTGTACGGATGTTTCATAATAATCATATAATAAAGGGATTTTGAAGTAGCGGAAGTGTGGTCGCTCTCAGACAGCAGTTTTGAATTAAATCCGCATGAGATAGGCAAATTAGAAGATCTTCAATAAGGGCCGAAGTATGCGGTAATTGAGTTGGCATTTAAGTAGGACCAATGCTACGAGTGATGTAGCATGAATTTGTTGTATTTAAAAGTTGAAGATTTTGGAAATGGACTTTCTAGAATTTGCAATAAAGCGGTAAAAATAATAAGCATTAGTTAATAATAACAACTTTAGGCATTAATTCGGTTTTGTTTATTCGAGAAATCAGATTGGTATTGGCTTCACGTTAAGATTTAGGGCACATAAAATATCGGGAAACATTCAAGAGCAATCTGACTTTGTGCATAAACTTCAGGATTTCCATTCAAATTACAGGATTCTTGTAAGTTGATTTACCGAATTAAAGCCCATCACCATGTTAATCTTGAGTTGTCCGTTGTTTTATTTCTCACTGTCCGCTTTTAATGTTCTCACTGGGCGGCCGTTTTAAGAGTTGTTGTGGAGGAGTTCCGCCATGTAAACAAAGTCCGTGGCAGATTAGCCAAGAAACACTTTCTAAGCCCTCCGATGACATTCGAACTCTTCGAAAAGTCCTAACTAGTCCTTTTTTGGGTTCGTCTGAAGCCGCCTTTCGACCAAATGTGGCCCAGGAACATAACTACTTTCATAATGGCATTTTATTGCAATGCTCAATTGCTTACCATGCTTGAAGGTGTCTCTGGATTGCGTTACTACGTCTTAGATAAGCACTTAACGCGCACTTGTTTGAAGATCATAAAGCAAACTGCATGGAATTGGTAGGCAACTGGAGCATTTATAAGGCCAGAATGCCTAATATCGAAAACTCTTGTGCATCATTACAATCTAGATACAATCTTTGGGCTGTATCCAGGGTCCCTCCTGATCTGTCAGTGGCCAAGATCAGAGAACAGGGACGACTAACTTAATAAATCTAATGCCGAAATCATGTGCAGGATAAAAAGATATATTCACCGCAATCTCATTGATTATTTGATAGCAAAAATAGGTGAATGAACACATCATTTACTTTGCATACAAGACAATGAAGAGAGATTGGCAATTTTTCATACTATATTTTCTTCATACTCTCTTCGACAGCCTGGTGGTATGCCACGAGTATGCGTTGCAGTGGTTAAATAATAGGTTGTAAATAAACCGAGTGAATATTGAGCTTTGGGACTCGTTCACAATAACACAACAATCCCTTAAATATTTTCTAGATATGCTAATCCTAACGGCAAAACTTTGAAACAATTGCCTATTGTTTAATACAGCTATTCATAGAGCAATGTTTCTGAGACGAAATGGCCGAAATTTCATCATTGCCTTTGTCCCAGGAGACTGGAACACGATGTAAAACTACACGAAGCAAAATCACAAACGATTAAGAGTATTCGCACCCAGAAAACTGCTGGGCAATGTAAATTTGAAGTGCAATTATGTCACTCTTCTACAATCGAAAGCGGAATTTCCTGATGCCCGTTTCAGATGCTCGGGCTACCGTTTACGAATTTGACCCTATACGAGAATCTCATTGGATGCCTTCAAAAAACAGAGGAAACAGATTGGCTCAATTAATTAAATACAACTGAATAGAAATCGATCAACCAACAAAATTAGCCGAGAGATAAAATATTTTTTACACTGCTCGTCATGTAAAGGTCGTGGAAAGAAGGCAATATAATATCGTTGCATAGCAAAAGATTACGCAACGTGGTCGCCTAAAGACGTCATCTACTTGAAGATACTCTTAATGGACCAAATTTTGAGGTTTTATTTTAACGATTATGTTAATGGTTTTATGTGACCTGCTGGGTCGTGAAAGAAACGAATTCGGCAGAAGGGCAAATCTGCATTTCAAAAGCGATTTTTAAATAAGGTAAAGTTAAGCGATGACACCGTCAATCACCAGCTTTTATGTAGGTAGTTAGACTGTTGTAATCTACAAGCCAGTCTATTAATTTCCTGTAAAAAGGATAGAAAGAGTGAATTTGTATTCTCCAACTTGCACCCAAAATATTGCTTATGAGAGGCAGCTAAATAAAAAAAAAACAAATTATTTATAGATTGTGGAATTTTTTTAGAAAGCGTTATCAGAAGTCATCATAATGCGAGCAGGGCTGGAAAAATTTTACCCTCCTCTGCTACTTTAGGCAATTTGAAAGATGTTGTGGATCCAAAATGCGGAAGACCTAAAACACGGTTACCAGCCATTACTCAACCGTAACGTCTGCGAAAAATGGTATTAATTACAAGAGGCGAAAAAATAAGCATTAATCAGTTCCGCCATGCAGAAGGCTTCTTCTCTGTTCGCTTTCTTTCCATTACGCTGCTCGAATATTACCATGAAATCGGCCAAATGTGCACTGACAACAATATTTATTGTAGATTTTGCAGAAATTAAAAATTCAAGGTGAAAAGCTCGCGGAATATATCCTTAGAATAATTTTGTTTGGTTTTATTTTACGGTGTTTTACCTACCCGATTGATATTATAGTGACTGTTTTCAGATGACCGGGACCTTCAATTTGTTGAAAATTTGTAAATTTTACTGTTTGTTGCGACGACTTGCTCTTGATGTCGGCCATCCGTAGGCCTTTGCCTCTCAATCTGGGTGAAAGTCGTCGTATTCCCGGTGTTATTTTGCCTGTTGAAATTGGACCAAGTACGCAGTTAAGTAACCGCACCGATGTCATAATAAACGGTCAAAAGGTAACAATTGACGCTAGGGATTTGGAAGTAAAAGAAGAACTAGGTAAGGAGATCTTTTCGCAGATATTCATGTTGTTTAATAGACGTCGTAGTAAATTGTGTGTCTGATTTCGGTGATTAAATTTATGCTATTTTTATTTTTAATCTATGGAAGTACTCCTGCAAACGCTTCTACAAATACATTTAAATTTACACAACGTTTACAATATTTCGATTTTAGAACATTAGGCTCAAATTTGTCTTAAGTGGTTTATCTAAAAACAGCATTGCTTCCAGATAAATGTTCGTAAATCATACATAAACGCTATGATTGCTATCTTAAAGTTTGGGTTTGAATACCATTACCTTTAATGGGTTTTTCGCCCTTTGTACTACTCTGAAACTCAGTAATTGGGGACGCCTCGTAAAAATATAATATTACGATTGGAAACCTCTTAGTGTTGCCATCGAATGTGAAGCCCAAGTTTGTCATATTTTACCAATGTACAAGTATGATTTGTTGGACAATGATCTTGTTAGCCGTCAATATTCCGTCTGCTACAATTTACTATAAAGTTTTCGTAGTTAAATCAATGGTAGAATCTTTAAGCTGCTATTTACGGAAGGTTACTCCGTTTGGGTTGGCTAAAATGTACGTGCTTGTGGTAGATTGAGTTGAGTCGGTATCGGGGAATTCATGCTAATTGTAATCAGTTGAGTCCAAATGGTCTGACCACCGATATTGTATGAGAATGTTTATGTGGTTTATTTTTGTTAATAGATTGGTAGCAGGATGTAGTTGTCCGTTTACCTAATTGAAATATCATGTTTCACCGATTTATAACAGGAGAACAATAGTGAACCTCAATGTCTATCATTTTTTTCCAGCCATTAGCTCTACCACTTGGTTGAAGTAGACATCTAATCTAGCTCTATCCACTATTCACTAATTTAATCACATTCCAGGTAATTATGGATGAATTTAAGGTCCGGAATTTAAATGGAACGAATCTACAGCTGTCAATTTCATCTCTTCAATTCTGTTTGTACTAATTTGTGCAAGTGTGTAGCGCGTAGAATTTTTTTAGCGGATATAGTTGCAAGAACATGGTAAACGCAGCTAATGGCAAATAATTTGCTCCCATATATTGATAAGTAGTGAACATCCGCGGCTATTTTTATGCTGATTGAGCAAGAGTGCCTCATGTAGTTGGCCAAATAGCTTTATTTAAAATAAAAACTGGTGTTTCTCTTACCTTGTTAACTGGTATAAAATGTAATAATCTGCTCCTTACAGTTATCAAATCGCGACTTCATGTAGTTTAAGGGTTCACGTGGACTTCTGTTGTTTACGCACTTTCGTTTCGAGATTACTGTGGGTTTCTGGGTGGAATTGAGTCCAACCCGGAAATATGGTTAGTGGCCATTCTAACATGATAGCTGTACAAAGTGTCTAAAATGCAAACAATGCTCTGAATTCATTATTTATTTAGGCCGTGGTGAATATGCAAGAGTGCATAAGATGTTTCATCCACCAAGCAACTGTGAATTTGCCGTTAAACGACTACCCTTCGAAATCGAAACTTCGGATAGATCTCGGATTTTAAATGACTGGAACGTTAGTATGCGAACCAGCACATGCCCCTATGCGGTGCTCTCCTACGGCGCCCTTTCAGTCGGTTGTGAATTCTGGGTTGTCATGGAGCTCATGGACGATTCGTTGGACAAATTCCTCCAAAAAGTATGTTCTTTTTTAGCCAAAAAAATGCCGGATTTTGTTTTTCATCAGGTCAAGTGATGTTTTTTGTGTTGGGATTTGTCTATAATGTACCCTTTTCAACTTTGTAATTGCGCTTTTAACGGTATTTTAACCAATGGCAGTGACATCGTAAAACTAGTTTCAGTAGCATTACCTCCAGGGAATATTCCCTTCGAGTTCCTTATTGAGTCCTCGAGGTAGTGAAGAGGCTCAACGATAGGTAACATCACGTTTTGGAATTAAACTTCGAACTAATTTGCCCAGAGCAAGTTAGTGGTTCACACAAGAATCTATCCTTTCGGAAACGACAAATTATGGGGGGTCTATAATAGATGGCTTGTGAATAGAGCTTGTCATGCAGCACTGCTAAATGTAAAATAAACAGCTTGGTCCAAATCTGAAGGACAAAAGGTAAAAACCAAATGCCTAACTTTGTAGGCGATTAAAATGAGTTAATTTAAGTTAATACTAATCACGAATAATCGGATATGTCTCCATTTGTGTATCTTACTGGGCGTAATAATTCCTTAATGGATAAAATTTAATTTTTAATGACGAAGAGTTATTAGGTTTCGGAGATGGTGGTTAAATTCTTAAAACGGAAGTTTTAAAATGCGCACTTCATCCCACCCTTCAAAAGCTGCAGATGATCTGGCTTTGAGAAATTAGTCTTTAAAATTTCAGAATTATTTTTCATTATATTTAAATCCAGAATATTTAAAGCAGTTTACGCGTCCTTGACCGCAGATGTCCCCAATGTATCAATGATTTCGAAATCTGACACTACTGAGTTAGCCGATGCAATACTAATGTATTAATGAATGCATAATTGCCATCCAAACCCTGTAGCGACCATAATGCTTTAACGACTCAGTTGCATTATTTGATTTTCCCTCCATAAATTACCTTTTACATAGGGTCGGTTTTTAGGTTTTTGAACTACACCTCATCTGTTTGATTATTAACAACTCAAAATGATAGCGGTCGCCCTGAAAATGTCTTGGTGAAGGCTAACGCATTATACTTTTTTTCATAAGTAAACTATTTGACAAAACTCAGAAGACTGTGCGAGCGCGAGATCGAAGACACAACACTTTTAGCACCGTCAACTAAACAGAGGAAGTCCTGACTTTGGGGATAGGATATCAACTTGGATCGCTGTCATTGTTGGGATCTTGTGGTCCGAGGAAGCGTTACCAGTGCTCCCACCTATTCAGTATTGAAATTACTTGTGACTATGCATAACGTTGCATGGCTTAAATATGTCCGGCTATTGAAAACACCGTGCCTTATCGCCGAAGCAGTGCTGACGTCAATATGTTTTCGTTTGGTGTTTGATTGTGTAGGAGAGTGCCTGAGTACGAGAATAGCCGTAAGTGGGTGAATATGTCAAATCTTCGTTTAAGCCATCCACCACTGTAACACTCAAATCGTTAGCGGTTATGTTAGGATTCTCCTATGCTACATTGTTGGCAAACCTTTGCACTGCTTCTCTAAAGGGGCATTTTAAAACAGGTAAAATGTCAACTTGCTTATCAGGAGGTGAATTCAGGCATCGGTTGGAATACTTAATGACATTCGTTGTAACAATGTAGCGTCCTTTGATTGGTTCAAGTTTGAATCACCCACCTGTGTGTAGGGCGCTTTTGAATGGTGATGATCCATCTAGGTATCGACGACAAGGTGTTAGCAGCAGACGTTGTCCGGACAAGACAGTTCTATTTTGGCTTTCCGTGTTAGCCTGTTGTAAGTATCAGGTCAATTGGGACAATTGAGTCAAGCACAACAGTTGTTGGCAGTGAACAAGCGCAAAGCACAGACACAAAGAAGTATCATTCTGGATGCAAGGATGAGAATCGCCGTGCGTCAACTCTGCGTGGGTTTTAAAATTGTATGATAGGACTTGACCTGGCCTCTGTTTTCAGCTGAGTAGGGCTTATACCAATTTCGGTTACGAGTATAGCCCTCTGTTGAGCCCCAAAGAATTTGAGAGTAGGACTCGTCCGATCGCTTTGTAACTTGGCCGGGCTGTTTTTGTGCTAGGGTTTTGAGTTATACATAGGGTCATGTTTGTGGACAAAGCTAAATCAATTGGATAAACGTTTATTGACACTGAGCGATCAGTGATACTATTGGTAATAAAAAATGTGGAAAATATATTGTAAATCTATCATTCGAATGTTAAGTACTATTGTACATAGGAAACATTGCGGTGTATAATGAAACGTTTTGCACAAGCCATTACTTTCAGGTTAAGGTTACTTCCGCGCAAGTGCTAATCGGCAACGGAACTGTGCGGTGGATTTTACGTCGATTATTTTGAGCCTTTAACTCAACCACAATAGAATTTATAAATGCACCTCTTTTACTGTGGTAATGGGTAGAATTCCAACGTCGTCTGTCATTTTCCAACCTTTTTCCTGTCAACATCACACTCCTCCGGACCTCTTACGGAGGGTTCGGTATCATTGTCGTGGCTTTTCTTTTACATATGGCTTCTGATTCGTCGCTACTGCAACCAACGAGACTACCTCATCAATAATGTATTATGTCCATATTAGGAAATCTAATTTACGTTTTCCGATTTGCCTGTGGTAGTAAGTTGGTAATTTTAACGCAACAGAGTTCCTGTTTTCCGATATTTCTTTTCATACACACAGGTGTATGCACAAGGCAAGGTGATCCCAGAAAATCTCCTCGCCTACATCGCTTTTTGTGTGGTCACGGCGCTGGAGTACCTCCGAAAAGATCTCGTCACAATGCATCGTGACGTCAAGCCTTCAAATATTTTGATTGATCGCGCCGGTCACGTAAAGGTACAATCCTCGACAAATGCGCTTTTTTTTCCGACTTCCCTTCTCAATTCCTGTTCAAGCCAAATCCTGCTTGGCGTTTGGTTTGTAGACACTTAGGTCTAAAGGCATACTGATGTTGAGATCTGCGAAACGACTTATCTAGAAAGTTTGATTTTCAGATAAACTATCAATGCACCTCAACCACAATTGTAGTTCCGGTGGGTGGTACAGTTATCGCACTCTTAACTTTCGGAGCGTTAGTGTTCTTGCTCCATCATGTTTTACTTGTCTCTAACAAGGCATGTTTGCTAAGTAATCGTCAAAGGGGTGCAGCTAACTAGGGTCCTCATTCAAAGCATGTTTTGGAATTTCCCCTCGAAGGTTTGCGACTACGGGGTGTCGGGTGAGCTGAAGAACTCGATGGCGCAGAGCAACACCGGCACGTGTCGGTACATGGCGCCGGAGCGCATCGACCCCACCCGGAGTGCTGGCGGCGGGTTCCGAATTCAGGCGGACGTCTGGAGCCTCGGTCTGACTCTGCTCGAACTCGCCACAGGCAAGCACCCCTACGAAGGTTTCGTTAACCAATTCGAACTTCTCAAACATGTGGGTAGTGTTTTCTTTTTTTTATGTGTAACAACTTCGTATTCCCGTTCTGCTCAGAGATTTTACATCAGATGCTATGAGATCAATAACCACGGTAATCTCTAATTAAGGTTCTATTTGGTGGTAATGCATTTTTACCTGTCATCAAGGATGGCTAGTTGCATGCCCTGAGAATGCACTTTACCGCATCCATTTCATTTGGATCAGATTTAGTTAGGAAGATAACTTATTCCCTTGGTAAGGTAGATTCTAAATTGATAAAATGTACATAATCTATAATCACTCGTAATCTTGTACGAATCCGTGCTTATACACTATTGACCACCTAAAAAAGCTGATTGATATTTTGTGATTGTAAACTTTTTTATGAAGAAAATTGACCATCTGGTTTTGTCATTTGGCAAGGTAGCGTAGATTTTTCCAGTTATTCTGCCATCTAGGAGATTTTTCCACCATACTATTGAAGGTCTAACACAAGGAATAGCAAAACAGTTGCTTCTTTCGTGTGCTTCTATGGTGTAATCTGCGTCAAGTTGAATGTCATACTCCTAACGGACTTTCACGTTTACCATAATCGCCTTTTGTACGTTTGCTTGAGTACGGTTACCAGGCTTAATGTCTTCTAACTTGGCACCATGTGCGAATGTGTGTGTTTAGGTGGTCCATGAAGCGCCCCCTCATGTCCCAGAAACCGTTCCCTACTCACAGGACTTCCGTGACCTGGTATCTCAGTGCCTAGTGAAGGAGGAGTCTGCTCGCGCCAATTACTTGCGCCTCCTTGAGTCACCCTTCCTTCGGAGTGTCTGCGTGGAGCGCGATGCACCCCTCATGGCCCAGTTCGTCAACTGCATTCTAGATCACCGAGCGCCTTCTCTTTAACCCTGTCGTACGCCTGCGTTTTCTCGCCTGACAATCAAGGTCCTTCCGATTCACTCTTTCCTACTTTTAATGCCGTTGCTGCAGTAGCATTTAAGCGTTTTATATCGGCTTCCCTTTTATGAGGGGGAGTGGGTAGCTTTACCAATCGTGACTGTGCAGAATCGTCTTACTGTGAACCACTCTCCAAATTACTCTTATTATCAATAATTACTTATGACAATGTAGATTATTATTCACTTTCTACGTTGTATTTCTCAAAAGTAATCAGGGCAGTCGTGTGTAGACATCTGGGACATTTACGGAACCGCTCTGGTTATGGGTAGTTCGAACATGTGTAGTGGTTTGGATGGGAGTTGGTAGATTTGATTAGCAACAAATTACTGTTAAATTGCAATCTTATGTTGAATGTAACGTACATCTAGTCTAGCGTGCCTAGTTTACTTGGCCTTTTTGAGGTGTTTGTCGCGCTGTTGGCAATGTTTCGAGTTTGTTGGGCCGGATGGCAGGTGCCAATTTTTAGGGAATCCTGACGATAAATTGAATGTGGGGTTCTCACGCTTTAGTTCTTTCAATGCACTAACACTAAACGGTCTTAATACTAGGACGTATTTGCGTAATTCCTCAGAACCACCGGTGTTTATTGTGATCTGCACCTGGAATGGGGAAAACCTCCAGCCAGCTTTAACGAATCCAACCTCATACTTTAGACAATTTCGCACCCAGCCGGGAGGAACTGAGCCAGTTTGAACTGCCGACATGACACAGCTTCCTTGTTTGCCTAATTCCCCGCAGATTCAAGCCAATGGCTGGATTACCAGGGTGCTTGAATGTAAGGGGCGTGCTCGAGATTGTCATTTTCCCCTTCCGGTTTTGTTCAACTTTGACACTTTCCTTGAAGATGCCTGTTGTCAATGCTCAACCTGAATTTGATAAGTTGGAAACCCCGCGACAGGCATGCTGCCTTACCGATTGTTACCCCATGGCAATATTTCTATTTGCAGCTAGCTTTCAAGGAAGCATGGACCAATTTGAGGCAAATAATTTCTGGTGAGTTATGATCTCGCGTTATCATGATAGAGGAAATGATGCTAGAATTCAATAAATAACTACCTTAATAATACCTAGGCTTTTGCATGACTTAAACATTTAGCCAGGTAAGTGGTTGTATTTCCAGGGTTCTTGTTCAATGCGTATCTAACCTTCCGATAAATACTATCGAGCAAATTAACCATCGACGCTCTCACCACCTTTAACAGCAAAACTGGCCTCCGAAATAGAAGAAAAAAATCACGACTTTGCTCACTACTTTGGAATAATCCAAGATGACATTAGTTGACATACAACGACGACGAGTACGCATTGTGGCAAACGAGGTGAAGTCACCTGCCATGTGAACAACCCTGACCCAATTTGAAAACAACGTTCAATTGTTCAAAACAAGAGGGTGGCTTTCACGTACCAGTGACTGCATTACACCACTTTAGGAATTGAGGAACCTAAAAGTGAACCAAGCGCACACACCCACTCATGTCTAGCGTCGCAAGATAAGATCACCATTTCCAGAACCTAATAGAAAAGGGTAGTCAAAATTTGAAGGAGCCTTATTTCATTTATATACACCAGGAACAGCAGGACAATATTTGTTTTAAAATAGGAAAGACAAGGCAAATACAATTCGAAATGACTTCAGCCAAAATGGAATTCAAAGTGACCCCCATCAGCACCGAACGGATCGAAGTTGTGGAAGTTGAAACCAAAGGGACCAGATCCTGTGAAGAATTGGTGGGGGGAACCAAAACCTGATCCAGAGCCAAATGGGTTTCCTGCCTGGGCTTCGGGGTCCTTGGGATCGATTCCACTATCAAATTGAGCCCGCATATCTATGAAAAAATAACAAGGACTAGGCTGATGCGCAGGAATTACATTGGATTAGAACACAAATTACAGGCAAATGAAGGCTTTAGAATGGAGAATGCCGTACTTAATGATAAAGCAAGAATTATGGAAATGAAATCTGATCCAAGGAAAATTATTGAACCAATACAAACCGACAGAAGCCAATTAAAAAAAAGGTTAAACCATAGGAAGTGGTCACGACATTGAAAGCCAGCAAGGCATCAATTGATTAAGTAAAAACAAATAGTTCGAAAGGCTATTGGCGACCAAATATTTGAAAAGGTAGGCTTACTTTTATCAAGAAGAACATCACGGGCATCATTGATATCAAGAAAACGCTTCTCTGCCGCTTTTTTCTCAGCTTCATCCGTATAACGATCAGGATGGTTTTTTCCAGCCAATTCACGATAGGCCTGCTTTATCTCCTTTTCATTGGCCGTCCGCCTTACGCCTAGAATTTTGTAATAATCCCTTTTCTTCCCTCTGGCTTTAAGGTTTTTCACATTTTTCAAACCCTGGGTAGCTTTGTGATTGTTCTGTTCCAATTCCAAAATTCTTCTGTACTCAGCTTCAGCTATATAATGGGATAAACCAGTGCCTTAGAATGCGTCTTCATATCGGACAACTCGCCAACCGAATTAATGCAAAAAAGAACTCGAAATTATAACACCGCTGTAAACTAACGAATTTTGCGTTAGAAATGCCATCAATAGAAATGAGACAGTGAAATTTGCAACACATGCAAAATATAGCGGTTCCATGATTAAATACGTAACGGTTAGGAAGGTTCAAAATGTTTCGCGCATGAAGTCCATTATTACTCAGTGTTTCAAACGGAACAATTCGCTGAGAAATGTGTAGCAATTATGGGAGACCCTGGTATTTCTTTGCATCACCTACATGACCACAAAGGTTACGTGCATCAAAGACTGAAGTTCGCAGCAGTATAAAAACTAGCGTGAATCAGAGGATCATATGGTTCAAATGAAACGAGAAATATGAGATAGGCGTCAGTCCCCCCCAAATTCGGATCTAGAGAAAATTTTTAGTCATCGTGAGTGCTCTTACCAGTCGACAGTCGCAAGAAAAGCAACAGTAAAAGAACCCAGACTGATTCAACCTTAACAATACAAATAAAGCGTTGTTACGAGAGCAAAAGCGACTACACCTTGTCAAAAATCGCAAGTTTCGGTGAGTGCCTGATTTCCATGGCGGTTTACTTAACTCAACAAAATAAAAATTGACAATGATTAAATGCCTTTTAGTGTATAAACAAATAGAATTTTTTTATAATTATGAGGAAACACATTTTACTGACAAATTCAACCGGGTAAGTTACTGTAACCATAGTGTTCGCATTTCCATTGTAAACAGCGTAACGTTTACGTCCTGTTTAGGGCTTAAGTTAGAGTGACGAAGGACGGCGAAGGTGGTTTTAGATTTTAAGTCAAAATAAATTTCATATAAATGAAATGAACTTTCAGCCATCCTTGTGAAGGAGGTTAATGTACTTCAACAAATTAAAAAAAGCAGAAATTACCTTCGTCATATTTCTCAAGATTGATATAGACCTCAGCCTTATCAAAATGCGGGTCAACAGACTGGCCCATTCGCTTGATAACGTAATCACAAGCTTCCAAGGACTCAGCAGGTTGGACCTACGATAAGGATTTCGTTATGGGCAAAGAAATGACTTTAAATCAGGGGAAAGAACAAGTAAACGTACTCTTGCCCCACAACGACAAACTAATGTTTTGCCCTGCAGCACATAATCAGAGTTATTGCCTTCAAGGTCCAGAATTCGGTTAGATAGCGACAAACACTTCTCCCACTTTTCATCATCAGCACTAGTTTGCGCATCTGAGATTAAGTTTGCAAGTTTTTTCACTTTTCCATAGTGTTCGCGGCAATCTTTGTCATCTGGATCTAAGCGAAGACAATTACGGACCTCTTCCAGAGACCTGGCCGCCAGACCGACGTTGTACATTAAAATAGACACACGCAACATCCCGGCGCGATTGTCACTAACCATATGGACGCTTTGACGTAACTCCTCGATACCCTGAAAGCCAATTATCGAAAATAGCAAAATACCTTGATTTGCTCACCAATCTTTATGTTGCACAAGGCACGCAGTTCATGAAGTTCGCTACTTGAAGTTATTGTGTTTAGTAAATAATCAAGTAAGGGGATGGCTTCATTGTATTGACCATTTGAATAAAAAGACTTTGCCTGATCAATATTAACTTCCAGTACACTTATTTCATTCAAGATTTTTTGGGATTCGGCGTCATCAGATTTCTGTAAAAGAGTAAAATTACATAAAATGACACACCAATATAAGTAGGGATGCTCGAGCCTCCTTGAGGTTGCCGAGTTTTAGATTAATGTTTGCTCTTTGTCTATGAGCCTAAAGAATAACAATTGCCTGGAGGAATTTACAAGAACGTAGCCGGGATTTAGCTTAACGGTTCGGTCGATATCAGGCAACGCAGACCTCAATCTTCCCATCGCGATATAAGCTGTTGCTCTTCTGTAGTAAGCCATGTAGTTTGTTGGATCAGCTGCAACAGCTTCAGAATAAAATTCCAGAGCTTCTTTAAGTTTTCCTTTGGATAACGCCATGGTACCATCTGAAAGAAGAGACTCTGCTTTTTGAGTTGTTTCAGACCCAGAACAGTAACCTAAAGAATAATGTAAAAATTTTTACGTACAGATCACCATCAACACCCTAAGCGCGTTCAAGGTAAAACGGCAAGAGCCACAAAAATCCATGACGGACAAAACAAGGGAATGTCCAACAACTACAGCCAATAAAAGGAATCGTCACACAAAATCGTGTGTCTCGAAATAATTGGCTACCACGAACCAATTAAACAAGCCAACATACAAGTGTGCCCCAAGAATTTGTATTAATAAGTTGCTTCACACGATGAGATATCTACAATGCGGATTAAATTGTCACTAAATTATACCTTTATAGGACAATAGATTTAAAGTATATAATCGAATATAAGGAAATATTTCGACGATATTTGAGAAATTTAAAAAATTGACAAACGTCGCAATACGGCACCATGAAAGGGGTTAGAAGGGATGCGAAATTGCTTACATTTAGAATGTTGCAGGTTGAAAGTTTCTTTAGTCCAACAAAAAACCTTCCCATCTCTCATTCTCCAAACAAAATATTTCAAATTAAGCCCTCAAACAAAATCCCAGTTCTTAAAAAGCGTTATTAATTAAATTAGTGGTGCAAAACGTTTTTCAGCGCCATAGAGAGCTTGGACGCATAAAGTGAGTTACTATTTCTGAGTATGTTATATTAATGGTGTGATTCTTGCAAACTAATTTTGAAGAAATGAACTTTTGGAAAGATTTGAGTTTTTATTCCAGACCTTGTAAACCAGTGATATTGAATGTTCTTGTTGTTCTACTTCTGCTATATGGAAGGAGTAAAAATGTCAATATCATAGTGCTGTTCACTGAAATTGTGAATTTGGTAATTCTAGAATTCAAGAAAACTATGCATCCAGAACCCGGTTTTTAAATAACACCCAATTAATTATTATAAATCTATATAAAGGCAACTTACAGGGTATTAAAATAATTACCCGGCTGGAAGTCTAGTTTTTCGCTTTTTGCTCATGCTCACACCGTGGTTTTTGAATAATGTTGGGGTAAAAATATTGATTTTGTGATAGGCTATGTGCATGTATATCTAGATTTTAAATTTACGATTCATAAGATAAAGACATATGGTTTCCAGTGATAAAATTTGGAATATTTTGACTTGTAAATATGTGAAGACGCACGATCATTCTCTGATTTTTTTTAAATTTTGATTGGTTAATTAATTTGGCGCTCATTGCCTTTTCTGTTTTCGTACTTTTGGAATGGAGTCTGTTGGGTTTGCCAACCAAAATGAGGCGACAAACACGGAGTATCATAAAAACGACTTAAGCAAAGACGACTCTAGTGTGTGTTTTAAAAAAGTTGATTTGAACATTTATAACATTCTTAACTTTCTTCAAAGTGAGTGGACTAAAATATCTGTGGAAAGGTCACAATGGGAATATGAGAAAGCAGAACTCCAGGCAGGCTTAATTTAACTTTATAAAATGCGTGTAGACTAAGATCTCTGTTTTGCAAAATGAGAAAATAGGAAATGAGAATCTGAAGAATGACCTTGTCCGCAGAATAAAGATGCTAGAATATGCTCTCAAACAGGAGCGTTTTAAAAACTTTACCTTGAAGTATCCTACTGAAACGGTTGAGGATACAAATGTCAGCGATAATCTTAGTGAAAATATCGGAAGACCAGGTGGACTTAGTACTCTTGAACGCGCTCGTTTACGAGAGTATTTGATGCGCATTGGAATGGGCAAACTGTCGACGGAATTGAGGATAACAAAAGTTAAGGAGCTTCTTGGTATTTCGCCGAGACATGATGGACCAGGTGTGTTTTTTGTTTACTTGTTTCGTAATTTTCTTTGTGGTAATGAATATCGAAGATTCGATTTACCAATGGTATTAGTGATAATCTGGTTGCCTCTTCATATGCCTTGTTTGGTGCCCGTTAATATGCTTAGTTGGTGGTGTACTTCTATCGTGCTTCTTTTTAACTGGTTTATCTTGATTCATGGCAATTGTAATGCAGTGGGAATAAGTTATTTCTTCCCAACTTTAGATTTTGAGAAGTTTGAATCTGCGTTATCAGAATTCAGTTTCTTACCGGAGTCTCAAGATGAAGCTGCTGCAGTAAGCTGTGTTCATTAAATTATCTGTTATTGAGTTTATCAACTCAAGTAGTTTAGTTATTTGTGCTCCCATAACTGAAGATACATTCTCAATTCTGTTATTCGGAAAATTCATTTTTCGTCTTGCACTAAATTCCTCACCCATTTGGTTGCGATTTTTGGTATTCAATTGCTATTCGTAGACTTCTCTCCACATGAATCGGTTGGATCTCAAAAACGTTAAAAATATTGCAAAGCCCCCTATTCGTCTCTTTATGAAAACAATTGTCTACATTCCGTGGTTGCTGAGTAATTTTGTAATTTTCTTTGTCTAACCTTTTTGCTGATGCAGTCATACGGGCTCATCTTTCATTGTACTTTCATTACATATTAATGTGTTTATTTAGCGATATCTAAGTCTTCGTCCCATTTTGAATCTACTGTTTTCGACTTCAATTTATTCGAAACGCAAATGATTGTTTACTACGCCTGTTGAGTCAAGGGTGATTGGTTCGATGCTTTTTGAAGGCATTTTTTACTGTTGTAAATCGCCTCTTATGCTTCTCCAGTTAGCCCCTAATTCGTGTCTATATGCAGTTTAAGCTGAATAGCAGTAATAATTTCACTAGCTAGTTTTGATGGCCTTTCGTAGGGTTTTGCAACGCATTTACCACTTTGGTTTTTATGTAAACAATAATACTGCTCACTGCAATGTAAAAGCACCATTGTTGCCCATGTAGATTCAGATCCTGTTGTAATTCAGCTTTGTTATGGGAAGACATGTTTGTCGGGTTTGACACATTCAAAAGTCGTATTTCAGATAGCAGGTACCAATTTTCACCCATCAATTTTGTCTGGAGCCTTTCAAAACGTCATTATTGTTGACCATGTTTGCTAAGTCTTCGAAAACCTGTTATCTTTCTCTCTTGAACATCGAAGCCTCTTTGATTAGCAAAACGTATATGAACTAATTTTCTATGCGTTTATCTGTAGAGTACTAGGTAAGCACTGAAAATGTTTATCCTTGTTCATTTTTGAACATTCCTGGTGTTACGTTACGCAGAGTTACATTGTAATATGCCGTACAGCTTGGTCGCTTTTGGCACCTCTCTGATGTTAATATACTGCTAATCTTTGCCTTGAAGTGTAAATGTCCCGTGTTGTAGTCTTCCGAAAACTCGAGCAAGGAAGTTTCTCAGCAATGTGATGAAACAGCCAGTGCCCTTTCTGAATTTGACAATCTTGTTGCTCAACAAGGTATGTCTAAATCGCACTATTTGTAAAACTCTGCGCCGCTATTTTTTCCTGTTATGTCTAATGTTACTCGATACCGTTTACCTACCCAAAGCGCTGTGTCAAGATTCAATTATATAGTAAATGCTTTAATGTAAAAGTTGATGTAATCCACAATCGAAATTAAAACTGATGTAAGTGATTTGTACCGGACCATTTTTTTTGCAATTGGAACTGCCTAGTCCGCGACCAACCAATCGCTGCTCCCGCTCGTTACAGCTCGCTGTTGCCTGGCGATTTACTGCAAATTTTTATTTTGCAGTTGATTGTTGGGGTGTCTTGTGGCAACCTCGTCCTTAGAATATTTGGCTAATTAAGCTTCTATTTGCTTTTATACTCTTAAACATTGGAGCAGTTTTTTTGAATGTCAATAAAGACTACATAAATGGTTGCTACAATTTATGATTTCTTCATTTTCGATCTAGTTTTTGTCGTTTGAGTAAATGTTTGACCCCAAAATGACCCAAGTGCCTTTCTTAGTGTTCACTATGAGTTTATTTTCCCAATACCGCTTCTTTTTCGCCCTATCACTCTTGCTTTGTCTCATGTGCTCCAAAAATTGTGACATTTACATTGCTGTTTGCTTTTTTTTCTCTTAGCGGCGCATCACAACATAAATCAAGTGATACATGTGTGTGTGTGTGTGTGTGGAGATAAGGTCTTTCTTTCAGCCACTTTTGTTAATCCAACTTCCAAAAATAGTTGTCTGCTCTGACTTCTTAGTTTTATCTGACTTTTTTGTCTGTGTCAGTGTTATTGGCATTACATGTTTTTCATTTTTTTTTAAGCTCCTGACGAAGGTACATCGGAAGTTGATTTTCTTGTTGACGCAGTTACCTCTGGTGTCATGGAACCATCAAGTAGTTGGGCCTCAGGCGACCAGTGTGCATTGGTCGATCGACTTAAAGAACATTATCGACTTGGTACGAGTATCATGTCTCGTGACTTCTCGGTTGTCTCTTGATTGGTATTTTTTATCGCATTTGTCGTTCCTTGTGAGATGCTCACGCCCTAAATTGTTTCAATGTGTTAATATGACATGACATAGTTCCTTTTTAATGAAGACAGGGATAAATAAACCAGACTATATTATATGTGTTGAATAAGGGCTTTACAAATCCAAAGCTGATTCAGTAGTAATCTGCAGTTATCACTAGTGTTCAACCGTATTTGTACATTAGCTTACTGTCATAGTGAGGTCGTGGATCTTGGATCCACGTTTAAATCTTTTCATGCAGTCAATTGGAGTTGTTTCTATTTGAGTGCTTTCTGATTCAGGCCTTCCAATCAATCGAAGCGCACAGCCACACCAGACCAACTCATCAACCTCCGTTGAGGTGCCTATGCCCCCGGACACCTATGATGAAATGGAGTTATTTTCCAGCCACGGCCGTCGATTCCAGAATGTCGTCACGCATCCCCGCACTCTGCCCGAGGAGGTGCTCCTGGTGGCCGGCGGCGGTGAGGGCGGCGGTGGTCTCGGTGATCTGGCCAGTCTCACCTCTGCCTCCGCCCTCGACAATCTCGACGGCGTGGTGCAGGCACAACAGCTACACCACACCGTCGAGGGCGGCGACGATGCCACTGGCGACGTCGTCATAACGCCAGCTTCAAAAGCCCCCCCTGCTTGGGTCGCCAAATACTCTTTGCGGAGCCACTTCGACGCTATTCGTGCTGTCACCTTTCATCACTCCGATCAAATTGTCCTAACTGGCAGTGAGGACTGTACTTTAAGGTTATGGAGCCTTGCAAAAAGAGTACAGGCCAAAAAGTCCTCCTGTCTAGACGTAGAACCGGCAAGTCGATGTGTTTTTACATCTTTTCGAACGTGTAATGTGATGCCTAATAATATATCTGTATGTAGCATCAACTTAGTTGGACCAGTTAGCTGAATAGTCTGATGCATTTAGTTGCCCCGATTTCAACTATGGATGTGATTTTGTGCAGCCGCCCCGTCATATACCAGACGTGGCGTTGTTCCCTGGCAGACAAGCTAATGTGTCATAAACGTTTGTGCGAACTCGTGCATACAACATCTTATTTGCTAGTTTCGGTTTCGTAGTCATAACTCGGCTGAATTCCCAAAATTTAGCTTTCCTCTCAACCATTTTTGTCTCCAGCTGCCTATTGTTTTTTTGAATGTATACGTAAGTGAATAAATTCTTTTAGATGTACACTTGTCGCGGGCACACATCACCGGTTCTCTGTGTAGCACTTTTAAGTGTGTCGCCGTCAGCAAGCGATGTCAGTATCGACTCAAGCAACAGCAGCCCCCTTGATGCCACTCTAGAAAGCAATTTTGCCTTCTCCGGTTCACTAGATGGGGAAATTCGCTCTTGGCGTTTCGGCGGTTTGCAGCTTATGCTTTACGAAAACTTTGACTCCAGCGTTAGCGGTCCTCTGCTAAAGGGGCATTCTGACGCCGTCTGGTCTCTTGCTGTCCGGGTGAGTCAGACGCCTACGTTTGACAAGGGTGTAGGCACCCACCTAGTTGGACGTCAACCCTCCTGCCGTGGGGGTGCGATAGTTCCACAAGGTGACGATTTCTACTCTTTGTTTATAGGCTGATGGTTCAGTATTGTCCGCATCAGCCGATGGCACAGTTCAACTGTGGAATGCATTCCCAGCGTTGTTGCAGCAGCCACAGCCCTTCTGCAAGGACACAAACGTCTTGTCGGCGGTGCGCGTCTTTCGACCGATCAGCTCTGGTGGTGTTGCTGTACCGACGTCTGTGGTTTTCCTTCCGAATGAAAGCAACCTGTCGGCTGATGATTCTTTTGCTGTTGGTCTGACGAGCGGCGATGTTTGCATTATTCAGCTTGAGACCAAACGCCAAGTGCATCGTTTCGAACCAACTCACTCTAAATCCGGTATAGATTTAAATGCATGTGTAAACAACATTGCGTTCCCACAAAAGTGTGCCCTTTTGGTCATTCGAACATTTTTTTTGAAATTCATTGCTATGCAGGAAGGACTCTGCTCTAAGACTAGTGTTCACGTTCGATAATCTGGTGGTCCTGTTTCTTACTTTCAAAAAGCACGAATATAGCCAAAATAAGCTCGTGGTAAGCTAAATTGAATGCATTGTGGGTTTTATTGATATCCATAAGTGGTATTAATATCAGCGTGCAAGAATATGGCATTCCCCGTTTAATTTCGATTAGAACTCATTTATTACCAGCACGTGACGCCAACTTGTTTCAGGCAGCCTTTTATTTCCATTCACGAGTTGAAAATACCCACGAAATAATCAGGTTTTCATGTAAGTGCTGATCAATGTTTCATCATCTTTTCGACTCACGTGACTATTAAATGACCTTTTCAAACCACTTGGTAGTGAGGTATTGAAAAAAAAAATTAGCAAGTTTTTGGTGGAACACTTTGTTGATTTGATAAAAAGAAAATGCCAAATTGTATGGATGCATTAATCTTTCCGGCGACTCCCCATCCTGCATCCTTTTTCTAGCCGATGTGACAGAACCCCCAGGATCTGTGAACGCACTCTGTGTTCATCCATCTCAACCCCTTCTTATTGCTGCCCACGAAAATCGTCAAATCCGCTTCCTCGACACAACACAAGGCACATGTTTGCACTGCATGGTCGCGCATTTGGAGGGTGTCACTTCTCTTGCTATCGATCCGAGGGGCATTTACCTTCTTTCTGCCAGTAAGTCGTCACCCCTCCCTCCATACGGTATCACTTTTTACCAGTTCCAAGTCGAAGTTACCTCTAATTGGGAAATCGTAATGCTAACCCCCCTGAGATGAGAACTTTCAAATGTTTTTTTTAACACTTATCTGAGTTCGTGTGTCCGACCCTTAGTTTTACAGACTTTAGATTAATACTGACTATTTCATGATTAAAGTCCAGTGGCGCTGACAGCCCGGTGATCTCGTTTGTATGTCCTCGTGCTGTTTTACGTGGCAGAAGTTGAGATGAGCTAGGATCCCATGTAAAGTGGACGGTTGCCTGCCACGGGGATTGCCGTTATCTACTTGGATTGAGGCGAATGAGGGCAGCCCCCGAATTGAAACTATCAAAAGCATATCGTTTTACCCAGCGATCCAGAATGGCGATCTCGGAGGCCTACTGTTGAATTCCCGATATTTCACTATATATTCAACTCTTTTATGTATCCCTATCTCCGAATTCCACAAAACATGTGATTTGATGAGAATCTTCCCTTACAAGAAGAGATCTTAAGGTTGTGTACAACAACTGGTTTGCAGCATTAATCGTTTTTTGATATTCTATAATTTCCAGGCTGAAGCTTTTTTCCGACTATTTACTAACTTGGCTGTGTGAGTTGTTGAGTACCCTTTGGAATGCAAGAGAGCTATTGAAGACCCAGAACCAAACTCGACTTCCTACATTTATAGGTCACGATTCTTCAATTCGGTTGTGGGATATTGAGAGCCGAACGTGCGTGCAGGAGTTTACAAGTCACCGGAAGAAGTATGACGAGTCGATTCACTCAGTGGCCTTTCACCCCTCGCGACCCCTCATCGCCAGTGCGGGAGCAGACGGTCTGGCAAAGGTCTACGTCTGAACTCGCTTTCGGCGCTAACGCATTTTTCGTCCCATGCACACCCCAACTCGCGCCTTCCCCGTGTAAATGCTCCGTGCCCACCCCCCTCCCTCCCACATCATCATCTTGGTCTTCTCTCCTACCCAATCGATTTTAGCTTGAAACCATTTTAATAACATTTTACAATATTATATTGCATTTTTTCGTTTGCAGTGAATCTTGTAGTGTGTTTGAGCTGTTTCAAGATTGTTCTTTTCTGTTATGACAATGCCCTAACAGATGTTTTTCCTACAATATACCGCACATTACGTAGACAACTGCCATTATCATCCAGTTTTTTTTCATGAAGCAGTAGGCTTTGATATCGAGACTTCCGCTACCTGTCATCTGAATTAGTATCACCCCGAATACTTTCCAGTACTGTTTTTGTTTAACACCTCAAGCTGGATTTTCTTTCCAATATCTATATGACCAAACACGCTCTCTGAAGAATACGTTGACGAGTCAAATGGGGGCGTGTCTACGATTAATCGAGGTTGGACGTACCATGATTTAAATCATTTGCATGTGGTTTTAGGATTCGAAAAGGACGAGCTTGCGGGAGATTTTTCTGATATCTTGTCTTGGAGGAACTTCACTTTTCGCTGGCGTTTTTTGGTCTCTGCGATCAATCAAGCAGCAGGAAAAACTGTCCTCTTGGGTAATATTAACAATGACTTCAACAAAATTGATAAAAAAACCAGACCATACAATAACTTGTTTAGCATGTCTCTAATCACATTTTTGGCCACACCACTGCAAAATAATTTCTCCGAAGTTCACCCAGGTGATTTCTACCAAAGCCATGGTGCTCAAATTGGTCGAATTAAACGCTGCGTTGGTTGTATCGCAGGTGTTTCTCCTGTAAAGCGCGTGCAGGAATATTTGAATGTCCTGCTGTGGAAATTACCGGCTACACGAAAATACCGGCATAAACCACCATGCCCCACGCCTTTCAAGGTTTCATCTTAGCCAATCCTTAATACATTAAGGAGGTTTAATTTAATGTTTGGATACTCTAATGATGTAGGTTATGTACTGATCATCATGCCAATTTGTCTCCCGTCTTGGTGTAAAATCCCAAAATTTCAGACCAGCGGCCTGATCTGGCAAGAAATCAAGGACGGCGTTATTGTGAGCCCCTATGTTCTGAGATGTCCTAGGAGTTACTAAGTCTCAAACTGCGTGCTACGGTCACGATTTTCGTCTTTTGCATTGTAGAAACAAAGCACACAAATAGTCGCAGCGGTAAATCCAACATGGTTGGCCGTGAAAGCACTCGCGGCAGGAACAGTGGTCAGCATCGTAATAACGGGGTCCTTAGCAGGCGCTCTTTGGCTGGCCATCGGAAGACCCAGTTTAGGTGGGATCAAATCGGAGTTAGATTCGCGGATCCCAAAGCTAGGACGGTCCACACAGCAGGCAGACAAAGACTCACGCAGCGACTTTTCATCATTTAGAGAATTTTTTGAATATTGTCAAGATGAGAGAAACAACAAATAAAGTCAGAGCCTTGCAAAAACCACGTTTATTTTGAAGTTATTAGCGCATCACAGACATGAAAGAGCAAGTTGTGTTTATGAAAGTTTGGAAAATGAAGTATAGGTACTTTAACGTGTGTTACGAATAAATAAGAGTATTAAATTGGTCTGTTGGACCAGCATGTTGGCACTTGCATAAAGTTCATTGGTCCTAAAAACGATGCGGAGGCTTAGATTAACGATTTTGCATTTTATAGGACTTTCGATACTGTCTGTGCTGACCCAAGTAGCATCGATTTGATGTTAAGAAGTTCGGGGAGAGCTAGCTCTCTTAGTCTTAGACACAGCTGGGCTTTTGTGTTTATACAGCAAAAGGAAATGGCATTAGGACTACTAGGATCACAGTAAAGACCTTATCATTCACGAAACTCTTACGAGGAACCGTCAGCTGATTGAGTAATGTTGAGTTTTGAAGAGATATTCAGCAAGTTGACTACGTTTTTATCAGAAAACACGGTTAAAATGAGGGCCGAAGATCACCGGCTCTACCAAGGTAGGAATATGTGCCTTCCTTACTGTACATTTGGGCTCTGGTTGTGTATCGACAAAAGATTGTCAAGCCCTGTTGAAGCGTCTCGTTTCAAAGTGGCATCAGGGATTATGAAAAAAAAACGGCACTTTATTTCACTAAGCTTCAAAAGAACAATCAATGTCGTGTCTAATAATTGAAGGCATTCAACATTAAGGCAATCGTGAATAAGCTTGGTTGTAGCTGCATTGTGACCTACCTGTGATCGCGGAAGAAGCCCTTGAGAGCGCTGCTGAAACGCTTCGAATAATCCACAAAGTTTACCATATGACCGTCAAGATCTTGCTTAATTACACCTGGGACCAGAGCATTTAAAACTGAGTGGATGCAATCAAGGAGATTTTTAATGGCATTAGCGATCTCTCTGAAAATTGCGGACAAAAAAATGAGACGTACTTAATTAGTTCTATAAATTCGTTACGGCCTGATATTTCAGATGGAATACGACTTAGTATATACTTCAACTCAGCTGCGCATTTTTCTAGGTCTTGTGAATGAGGAACGCTTGATGAGTATGACGGAACTACAACAATTTAGAAAAAAATTCGTCCTACTCTCGTTATCGAGAGCAGATAAACGTAAAGACATTTCCTCGATGTCAATAAAATCTTTAAGACCGAACTTCTCCATAAACCCACGAAGAAAATTCCAGGTGAATCCTGGCAAAGTTTTTTCAACCTATACATAGGATAAATTTATAAGAATTACGTTGTCAAAAGTTCTTTGTAAATTGGTGACATCCACCTGTATTTTTTCCGATTTCGAAGGTTCATTTGAAGATTGGAGAAAAACTCGCATATTCTATATTTAATGATAATTTAAAACACAACCTACATATTCCAGTGTTCGTTTAATGGGATCCAAAACAGATGAACCAGCGGAAGGCGCAGCCATGTTCAAAAAGTAAGTCTATAACACCGCCATATTGAATCTTGGACAATCGTTGCATTCAAATCAGGCTCCTTTTGTTGACCTTGGAATCACCTAATTATTTTATATTTTCCTAAACCCTTTCAGTTGCAGCCACAGCTGTAAGTTGTAGGCTTAATTTTAGTTTTTTTTTTTAAAATACTAATGCAATATTCATTAGCTATTAGATACGTCCTGTTTTGTCTGTTTATTCTGACTAATCACATTACCAGTGTAAAATATAGCTCTTTAGCATTGTTCCTGAATTCAGATACTTACATTGATTTCATTAGAATGCTAAATAAATCATCCAAACTTTTGATACATCTTTTATATAATAGCTGATCTTCTGAATAACATTTTATCGTAAAATCTCCAAAATAAATTTCAAGCCTTTTTAGTTGCTTGTGTTTAGATCTGTCTTATAACCTTCTAGTTGACAACCCGTAACATCTTGAGATAAGTGGAACAACAGGCGACATAGTGCACGACCTTTTATTAGTGTCACACCAGCCAAGTGCATTTGTGTGCTTATGAGTACGCGCATGTAAGAGGCGAATGCTTACCCATGCCAATAACGGACGAGACGATTCATTGACATACTGGGGTCATGGTCCACGCATAACTCACTCAAGGTGGCTGTCTGTCTGCTGCGATTTACTTTCATCTATTTTAACGAGCGGTAAATCCATTGTTGTCTTTCATTTGTCAGAACGTGTATCCAAGAAAATATGCAAGTCTAACATTGCATTGATGCTTGAATTGTTCTCATGCATTCGTTTATGTCGCATCAGATGCATTTATTTTCTGGTGGTGTTTTGCATTAATAGCAAAACTGAATTCATCTTCATATTTGATGTCACACTAATCTTTTATGAAATATGATATTAAAAAATCTACAACATCGGAAATTCGATGAAGTTCGCTAGCTGAAATAACGAACGAACACGGGCTTTCTTTAATTCTGCGTTAAAGTCGTTATATTGGATTTTTAATTGCTCACCTTTCATTCAGTTACTTCGGTTTGGGCCGAAGGAATTGTTATGAATCTGTCAATACACCTGCAAACGTAACCCGTTACAGGGCATGTATAGGATGCAATTTCAGCAAATAATGACGTAAATCGAATCAGTAAATGAGTTATAGTCATTCCGAGTTGGGATTTTTAAGTTATTACATTTAGTACTTAATATAAGAATCCAAATTTTTGGCCCAAATATTTATCGTTTCTTCATTTTACCATGCTGTCCTATTATATCGGTGCAATTAGCGGAGTTACCTAGGATCAGGGATGTCTGGATTTTGGGCCAAATTGCTCTTCCTGTGCACAAACGCACATTCCACGAAGAATTATCAACCGTTAGTAAGGTAGGGTCATAATCGGTCTTTTTCTCGGTTTCGAGTAGATTAATATGTCTGATTAACATATTTTTGTTCGCCATGCTTACAGAAGCGGTGATGCAACTAAAAAGCCGAAATTTGCCGATGGAGTCAAGTCCTGTTTCAACAAAATAATTAGGTTGTGTACCCTTTCAACATAGATGACATATCGCTTTCTTCAACTGTATTATTAAGGATCTATATTGCATTGTGCACGGTGTGGATGTCCGCATCATATATTATTTCATGCATGGAATTAAGGAAAACGGAAGAAAGAGACAAAGTGTTACTAATACTACTACATGCCTTTACTCCTTCAGTGCATTATATCGTACTGCAGCAGAGTACATCACTTTAACCATTTACCACAGACCTTCTAATGTATGGACGTAAACTAAATTGCTTTTGAACTTTAGTTGCCCCCACCATTTCTAACTCTTAGTCCCCCAACTCATGGTTGGCCAACAAAAAGTGGAAAAGCGACGCAAGCCGGGGCATTAAGGGCCTGCTTCACGCAGCCTTGACGAACCCACTGTTTCGAGTCAAAATCCTGATCTGTCACATTCTTAAAACCCCGACTACATAGGAACACTCACCCGTATGGCCTAACTCACACGAAGGAGAGTGTTTCTTGGAAGAGGGACAGGCGATTCCCATTACTCCTCTTCATTCCTACTTTTGTAGACTGACTCAACAAATCTGACGTGGTCGTGACCTACGTGCATTCACGATTCGTATTTTACATAACTTTGGTTTTGGAAAAATATACTGCACAACCAGAGGGGAAAACATCTACGAAGCAACAGACGGACTTCGGTTACTGCTGAATTTCTAGCTGTGGTCTCTACGAGGCCCACCCTGCTTGACCCGTCTTCCGTGATACATTTCTGCAGCTTTCTATTACGTTATGACCTTAAAACAAGGTAAATAGGCGATGGTTTGCAAATAACCCTGCCTATTGAGGCCTTTCGAGGTAGCGCATTAGAATTACACATAAGAAACAAAGTTAATGTTTAGAAGTCAATTAGTACTGTGTATTCATTTAGACTAGGAATCCATTGTGCGATCTCATCTTCTTCCCCGCAAAAAAATACCAGGAATACAACTTCAATTCAACGAAACTCATCAAAGTAGAGAGATACTCATTTCCCAATTTATACATTCGAAAACGTAATCTGAGTACCCTAATACGCAATTTTATTTACAAAAGTAAAGCACGATATTATAAGATCATAAGTCACTAGAGGAAAGTTACGCACATTGAATGATTTCAAAGCGAAACAACACGCCAACAATCCAATGTTTTTGCCCTAAAGTGGGCTGGTGGATGGTGCATTTGTTTTAAGGAAAGTTTGAAGTGACGTTTGAAATTCCTCAACCAACGGGTCTATAAATTTGGCGTAGCCGGCCTCTGTGGGATGAAGATAATCGAGCATATCACGATGGGAAATTGAACCATTTGGTTGCAGGAAGGAATCCCAGTCAGGACACAGAAAGACTACTCGGTCACCGGGTCGACTGAGTTCCACGGAAAGCAATCTATTTACCTCCTCATGTTTCTGTCGCCTAGGGTTTGGAAATCGACCACAAGGCAGTAGACCCTAAAGTGTGCAGTAGGTTGTCACAAATAGAACGGTTACTATGTATTCAGCAGGGAGAACATACTTCGCTATGCTTAATTTGATGCAGGCAAGGCATTTACTCAGTACCCGACGAATGCATTAAAACAATCTACAACATGGTCGGGTAGGATTACCAAGCATCTAGTCCTTTTTAAGGTTTAGGCAATGAAGTGAAGCAGGCAATCGGCGTGAGTATACCCGCAGACGAAAATGATTACCATTATTATCCCACAGTAAGTGATTGATTGAGAACTTGACAATTGGCTTTGACTTAATGTGAGAGCGTGTGATTACTGACAGTGGTTTAAAAATGACCAGTATTCGACATTAACTACGTATGGCTTGAGTCTCGGTTGAAAAGGTCAACTTATCAAACATTAATCGACATTGGCGATGACGTTCACATTAAACTAGTCCTTTAAACATGCATCTAACTCTTGCAGGGCACACAGATAAAAGCAGAGGAGGAAAGAAGGGGACTAACGCTGGCATTATAAATAAAACCAAAGATCTCAAAAAAGACAACAAGGCAACCAACGAGTTCTTAAACTGGAGCAGGAAACTGAAAAAAGTTCAGAATTAAATATAACAAACGTCAAAACCCTCGCACAATGAATAGCACATACAAGATTGTTGATGCAGTAAATCAAACAAAGGGACGCACTACAAGCTGCAACAAGACGGTACAAACAAGAATTTAGAAATATGTAGAATGCATGAAGCTTTCAAGAAAAATATAAAGATTCACAACAAGATTTTTAAGTGTTTGTGAATGAGAGTGTTCAAAATATAGTTTAAATGACATACCAAAACCACTACTATTACTGGAACGAAATCTAAACAATACACATTTTCAACCTCATATTTCCAATAACTATTAAGTTACACTAATATTGTAAATACCACCTAAATTATAAAGCGTATATGCACAAATCATAGTTTAATTAGACTGGTGACGTTAATTTACACTTACAGTAGCTACCAAAATTATCCAAAGATTTAAAAAAAACCCACCATAATCACAATATGCGCTTCAGGCTGCTTTTCCTTTATGACATTTACAATAGCTCGAATCCCTTTGACGATGTCAGCAGCAGGACCCTTATTGTGTGTTCCAACTGCCAGGGCAATAACCTAGCATCAATTTCTTACAAATAAAACGCTAGTACTTTCACCTGGACCTCATCGAGTTCTCCATTAAGCACACGCCAAAGAACGTGTTGAGTTTCGTCATTCAGTATAGAAAAATTAAGACAATGAAGTGGTTCGATATAAGTTTTGAACATCTAGTCACTATAAAAAGAAAAGATGTCACCAACTTGTGTCGCTTGAAAATTAAAGAAAATAGAATCGCCAATGAGCAGAATATCGGGTTCTTTTTCACGCGCCTGGCACAAAAAACGTGTATGCTAAAACATGCAAACCAGTGTGAACATATACGCATACTTGACTCAACCAGCACCCATCTTTTTCAACATCCTCGGGTTGAGTAGGTATGTCAGCAGCCATCGATCGAAACTAACTGCTGTCCAATCAACGCCTCCCCATTGCTATCAATTAGAGCACATTGTTAGAAAGTGACTAAAAGCAAATTTGACACTTTAAATAGAATTTCGAATGTATGCGAGTAAGCATGCTAGAAATGAGAACAGTAATTAGTCTAACCGAAATTATTCTTAGAAATCCACTAGTGTAGGAACCATAATAAAATTTAAAAAAATAGAAATTTATCAAACCCAAAATATTTTAAATTGATTAAGCCTAATTGTTATTGCAAGTCAATATCAAATAGCATTAAGCTAGTTGATGAAAGGATTATTTTGTTTTAAAATTAACGCTTCACAAAATATGCAATTGCAGAACTTCATTCTGCTCGGAAAATTTTAATTCTTATTCTACTGGAAATGAGTTACTGAACAGCCACGTGTCAATATGGCAAATGTAAATATTAAAAGGCATGAAAGAATTATCAGCCCAAAAATCAGCAAGTAATTGCTTAATTAGTCTGACTTTAAACTGTAAACCCTCAGGCATTATTACCTATCACGATTAAAATTTGAAAAAAACCTCATGAACCTCACCTCATATACAATAGAAGTGAAGCTCTGCCTTCCAACAAAGTCTCCTTAATGAAAGGTTTGCATTTTCATCAGTTGCCAATCTAAAATCATTTTTGAATCGGATTAGTTTTGCCGCGCCATCTAGAATGAGAAAGCTTAACTAGTTATGTGATTTGTCACAGGACCCTTTTGGCGTCCTAGTCTGTTTTTCTTTACCCTAAAAATCGTGCATTACATGAACGTGTCACTCAGTGCATCCATTTCAGTTTAGCAGAATTACTGATCATTTTCGACAGATGTATGGGTACAATTCTTCGACGGTTAATGGCAAATACGTGCAGTCTCGAGCCAAATTTACCTATTTCCCTGTTATCCTGTTATTGTCTACCCCACACTAGCAATCTCTGTGAAAATCCATGAATCTGCGGATCCCCTATTTGGGAAAGAAAGCTTTTACAATCAGCCGAAAATCGAGTGTGTATTCACATACACTCAATTATATTTGAGCTGGGTGGATCTGAATGGAAGGGTACAAGTACACTCAAGATGAGAGGCTGGTTAAGGAGGTGGGAGCCGATAAACGTACAAAAGTCGGCATACATATATGAATGGTGATGGTGCATAAGTCTTCCTTGTTTTGTTGGTTCGACGATGATATAACTCTTCATCGCAATTGGTTTAAATCACTTGTCGCTGAAATTGAGGTTGGTTTTGTTCGCTTTCATGTTTCTTCCGACTTTTATATGTGAATCATATTTAAAATCAAGCGGAGGGGTTTCATTGAAATTTACTAGCTCAGGCGTCACTACTTGGGCTTTGCCTTCGTTCGTTTCCGCACTCATAGTTTCCATTTCAAGTGCTTTATTTCCTTTTATTTGTAATGTATTTTCGTATCGCATTTTCTCAATGTTTAAAGGTGCCTGAGTAGGATGTCGCTGTTTTTTTATCTCGTTAATTGCGTTTTTACACTGGCGAATAAAAATTTGCTTTGCAGTTTGTTTTCTATCTTGCTTGGTTGTAGGGACCCCGTTGGCTACCGGGCTTACATCTTTTTCTATGCTTCCAGCTATTGATCTCTTCAACTCATTCTCTCGCTGCTCTCTAAGGTCTGCTAGTGCGTTTAATGGATTTTGCGCCCTGTGACCGCGTTCAGCACACAAACGACGAAGCAACTGCCACGAAAGCTCATGCTGTCCGGCGTGGCTATTGGAAGGACCCGTACATAGTACACTTCTGCCCTTTTCCGTCAGTGTCTACACCGGAAATCAGTCGCGGTTACTATATACGGGTCCAGACGTTTGAGGCAATGGTCCTGCGTTTTATTCAGGTAGGCAGAAGGCCTCTTCACCACTTATCATTTACAGGAAAATAATCGGATGTGTCAAGTCATCAACCTTGGGGCCGGCTCCGACACACTGTTCTTCCGATTAAAAGAAAAGAATCTCGTTCCTGCTGCGTATGTTGAAATTGACCTTCCTGCCAATATGAAGAAGAAAGTGTTTACTTTACAACGAAATAAAACCTTATGGACTGCACTCTCTTGTGGTATGTCTTATGAAACCCACTATCTAATCCCCGGGTCAATCTCTTTTTGTGCTTGTAGATGGTTCGACCTCTTCTCCGTTGGTTGAATGGAAAGAATGCGTGTCGTTCGGATGTTACCACTTGCTCAGCTGGAACCTACAGGAATCCCCAGCCTCCCTCATTACTCTTTTATGCGATTCTCCAGAGGGTCCAAGGCTTTCCCTCGAACTTCCTACATTTTTCATTGCTGAATGTGTCCTCGTGTACATCTCAAATGAGTCATCAAATTCTCTCTTATCTGCACTTGCAACCGAATTTGCGCGGGCGGCTTTCTTAAATTACGAACAGGTGTGTTATTGTATACATTACCGCAGTGTAAGTAAATTTTGGATCTTTCTTGATGTTCTTTAATTTGGCATCATCTTACCTGCAGATCGATTTGCTTATAAGTGGTTTTTGTTTGTCAATTTAGTTTCCTTTCGTTAGATGAGACATGATTCATTACACATGTTATTTATTCCACTTGTGCGTCCCAGAAAAGGGTGATCAGTATTAAATGAGAACAAAATGGAAAGAAGTGCAACAACATTAACTCTAAGTATCTTTCACTTTAGGTAAATATGAACGACAAGTTCGGTGAAATTATGAAGAGTCATTTCCGGGATAGATCATGTGAACTACCGGGCCTCATGGCTTGTGGGTCATTAGAGGAACAAAAAAATCGGTATGTCTTATTCTAGGCATATTTTTAATTCTAAGCTGCTGTCTTGAAGCAAAATAACTGCTTGACAGTGCACTTTTTGTTATAACCTGCTAAGAAAGAATGCAAATTTAGCCAAAAATGAAAATAACTCCAAGGCACTAGAGGTACGTTGGACACGAGCTTGCTATAATTAAACTCATTTGGTTGGCCACAAGCAAGGTAGACCGGGGCACACTCGGTGCCATGGTATTTTGTTGCATTTTTGTGAATATTTTAGTTTTAAAAATGCTGGATGGACAGAAGTACATGCCTGGACAATCAATGAAGTCTTTAACTCCTTCCCCCAAGACGCAATTTCAAGGTAACCTATATTTTGGTTTCGCTTTACTCATCACCGTTCCAAAAATATAAGTAAATCGTAAGTGTGTCCGGAGTCACGTTAAAGAAACAGCATCAGACATGCAACGGAGTAACCTCATTTCTGTTTCTGACATCCACTTATAGAATCAGAAGATTGGAAATGTTGGATGATACGGAGATCACGAAGCAGTTGTATGATCACTATTGCATTGTTTTGGCCACGAACAGTGAGGACGTATGTCGATGGACCGAACTCAAGATGGCCCTTTCTGAGGTAAAATAGAGCTGCCCTTGCGATTATCTTGTGTCCTGACTTTCTTTGTGCTTTCTGCAATAGAGTCGTATTTTGTAGATAAGTATGTTTTCATCTGATGATGCTGGCTAATTTGTTGATGTGTGAAAGGACATTTGAACACCGATATCTTAATGCAAGTTTCGATTGTGGCAAGATCCTTGCTGAATCTCTAAAATAGGAAAGAAGTTAAATAATACCCACTAAGGGGGGGGGGCACCGAAGTTATATTTTTAATGCAAAACTCCAGTATGACTAGACGGGGATATTTTGGTCAAATGGCGATCATACAGTTATTGTACGTGTTGCGAGCCCCAGCATGTGGTCTTGAACAACGTCGGGGCCACTTAATTGAATCTGGACCTATTACACTTCCCCGCTACCCGTGATGAGGGAAAGACGGGAGAGGACATGGACGCAACCGTTTACTCCAGAGCCCAACCAAGTTGGTGTCGTTGTGCCGCGTGTGGCGTTAGCGCGTGTGTATTTATGCCTCGGATGTGTGTGTCACAAATGCGCTAACATCGGGACCTAGGTGTGGGGGTAATTTAGACTAACCGTTAGCGCTAACGAGGGGGGAGTTGAGCATTCGCGCGGCTGGCGACATGGTGCGAAAAGGGGGACCCGGTGTCGGAGGTCGGAGTGACCGGATTAAGGAGTGTGTATAAACACGATTCACAACAATAAGCACAAATAGGCCTCGAACGCTTCGATTTACATGACGTATATATATAACGCTGGAGAACGATTTGAATTCGTTCTTCGTATTGCGGTCATATTCCCCCAGTAAATCCTCTTCGTAGTTCGTGTACGCCTATTTGCTCTTTCACTGTGTGTCGATTCTCAAGTTCAAGGTATTTGGCAGGGGTGCGAAAGAGTTACTAGTCTATTAAAGTCTAATATCAAGAACACGAGGACACTAGTTGCATATGGGGATTAAAGCGTGGTAGCCTTTTCGAAGACCAATACGCTCAATCCATCGCTTTTTTACCTCAAAGTAATTTACCTCTGGTAAAATTACCTTACTTATTAGCAATTAGTATGCCATTTTTAAATAATAAGCTAAAATTCATGTCAAAACAGGTAATCAGAAATTTAGTGATTTCACTGTTAGGGATGGTAGGGAAAGGCTGAAAATGTGGTGCCTAGAACTGGAAGCCAGATGTTAGTGTCCCTTAGCTTGACCACGATGTAGCCGGTATAATTTTTAGCACGCGTACCCAATGCTTTGATCCCTAAGCTACACGTGGATGAAAGGTTGGCGAAAAGAAATGTTGTCAGCATCAATTATAGTTTTGATAGCCGGTTTTACTTATCAGTTTTTTTTAGTGAACATGGATTGGCTCGGGGCAAGTGGGTTTATCAAACTTCGACGATGAGAACACGTCACAAGTCTTGTGATTGCAACAAGCGGTCAGATATTAGATACTGAGGGAATCGCTCTATAATGGGCTTCCAAGTAGCAGGACTGGGACAACCCCACTACGAGTACGCTGAGTGAACAGTACTCGGTGGATTCCGTAGGTGCCTATTATTCTTAGGTCTCAGTTTTATTCGAGAAATCAGTTCGGGCCTTGCGATGCATCCTCGTTCCCCTAAAGGCTGTCACCAAAGGTTTCTGTGTCCATTCGTATCGTGGCTTATTTCACCCTATACTGCCGAATAACTTAACAGGCGCGGCTGAAGGGTGCGTACGATTGCCTGCTGTCACCTGGTAGCGTGTTTGTGTTGTGGCTGTGTCTAAGTCGTATAATATACCCAAGACATTGCAAATTTTAACTATTCTACTTCTGTAACATCCACGGAACCCGATAAAAATGGCTTAAGTGCTGTAGATACCCTGAGTGCAAGTGGTGACAATGCTACCTGTTATAGGGGAGTTGTGCGAATTGTGGATGAAAATTCCGTCCTATTTTTGGAAGCCACACCAAATATGGCAGTTTTAGGCGCGCTGAATTTTATTTTCTGGAAATCTTAGTTGGTAAGTGCTGTTCGCAGACCTCAATAGGTTCGATGCTCTGAAGTGCCCGGTAGCAAGTCGTCATTGGGTCATATAGTGGCCGTCTTAGCTACCGATGTGGGTCTATTTTAATGGTGTTTTCTACATTTTACACTGTTTTCAATGTTTCCATTAAAGGTTCACATACCAGCCACTAGTTTCAGCCTCATGTTTGACAAAGATAACCGTGGTCGCTTTATAGAATATCACGTGCCCATTGAATCGCTTTCGAAGCAACGTTTTCGCGCCCAAACCTCTCGTATTGATTGGTTCGAAGTGGGTCGGCCACGTTTAAGATCCATGTACACGTGTGGTCAGTAGCAATACTTTAACCTCGCTCTCAGGAAGGAAACATGGGCGCCGGGCTAAGCGGATGTCTAACGGCCAAGGCAAAAGTCGAAATTGCCAAGACGGAATCAGCCGCCTGTCCTAAATGCGAGACCAATATCTGCAATTGTGGCCAGGGTTGTTTTGCTCGACAGAAGTCTAAGCGTCGGTGGGAAACTAAGAGCTATTGCAACTTCTACGAGCCACTCGTCACCACAGATCGATTTATTGCGGCATTCAAGGAGGCCGCGGCAGAACCCAGCTCGCCACGAGGACCCAACCAGCCTATCAAGTAAGGCGGACAACGGCCGGCCTCTCCAGTCACTTTGCAAGCAAATAAACAGCACCTGACACCGCTGCAAAAGACGAGAAGTCGCAGTGTATGCACATGCATACTTGTTTTCAGGTTTTTTTTGAGAAACTGATTACTTTGGAATTATTCGAAGATGAATACTTTGAAGTTGTTTGACTTGTATTTGAATAAATCATGGAAGCAATCGTGTCAGTTTAGCAGTTGTTTCACTAAATCGTCACTTTTGTAAGTGATATGCTTGCAGTAGAACAAAAACTGACTATTAATTAATCATCTTTTTCGAAGTTCAGAAGTTCGGTATGGACTTACATTCATTACGACCAACGAAAACCTCACAATTTATAGAGCTATCACACCGGGTATCTAACCAGTAACGGTCGTATAAACTACGTGTTTAAGAAAGCCTTAAGCAAAATTCTAGTCCTTGTTATGGCGTCAGTGCCAAGAAGAATTAGAGGTTAGGTAATTCTCGAATAACATGGAGTGTGGTGATGCAATGATGCACTTATACATTGCCAAACGTGGCACTGCGATCAAACAAAAAGGAAATAATACCTCAGCACCGAAACCTACCTTAGAATACGCGGCCTAATATCATAGCAATTATGAGATAAAGTGGAGTTTAATTAATTGAGGTCCGTTGACATGGAGGATACTGAAAAAAGGGCAAGACACTTTTGCTACAGTCTTTGGTTTAGCCAGAAGACTGTTGCAGTTCTAATTATCATGGCTTCAATGGCTTACATTCAGAAAACTCCTGCAACGCTTCATAAGTTTGCCAGAGAGGACGATGTTTGAAAAATTAATAAGTAGTGCACTGGCGATTGTGGTTTATTCTATGGCTGACACGGAAAATCCGCTAAAAACCATGAGTTTATTGCACACTGTTCCCCAAAAGACCATTGCCGAATTGAAAGCCCATGCACTTAAGAGGCAGGCTGAGAATGTATGGCTATGGTCACATTCCTGGTGCCTGTGAGTGGGTCGGAAGATGACACTTGGATGCAGAATCTCAGCTTACCGTAAAAGAGCATAGGAGGCAAATTGAGTCTAAACCTTCTAAAAACGTGGGCAAACATGGCATCAACAATAGAATCCAATGCAAGTCTTTTGGTTGTCACGCTCTTGCACAAATCCTACCGACTTAGAGTCAAGTTGATGAATTTTCTTTTAAAGTAATTAGTAGATGCTCACTCGCAGACCTTTACAATACGATGACGATTTGGCATTGGTAATTAAATTTGAGCGTGTTTGCC